TGCTGCAACAATCGTTGGAATCACTTGAAATCGGCGCATCCATCGATGGTCTCGACAAACCACAAGACCGCAGTCTCGATTTCCTTTCCGATTCACAGGCAAACGAAGCGTTTGCCAAGCTCTTGGCGGAACCACCAACGAAGGTGCACTTTGCAGGTGAACCCAACTTATTGCGACCTATATCCCCATTGCCACGCATACGCTGTGACTCCGCCAACAATTCTATGCTGCGTGAGCTTTTGCCCAAGAGTCAAGCCGCTGCGGCACCCATTAGTCCCGTAGCACACAGTCTGCTCGGAAAACACATACTCTCCGTGGATATGTTCACCAAGGAGCATTTGAATGAAATCTTCAATTTGGCGCAAATGTTGAAAAGTCGTGTGGCAAAAGATCGCCCATTGGATGACTTTTTGCGTGGCAAAATCATGGCGTCCATTTTCTATGAAGTAAGCACCAGAACCAGTTGTAGTTTTGCTGCGGCCATGCAGCGGCTGGGCGGACGGGTTATTTACATGGATCAGACGAGTTCGTCGGTGAAGAAAGGTGAAACTTTGGAAGACAGCATCGCAGTAATGGCAGGCTATTCCGATGTCATTGTGCTGCGTCATCCCGAACCTGGCGCAGTTTCAGTGAGTTAAATGAAATATTTTGATCCAATATATATGTACATATGTATATATAATCGCTAATCTCTCTTCAAATTACAGCGCGCCGCTAATCATTCCCGCAAGCCCATACTCAATGCCGGTGATGGTGTAGGGGAGCACCCGACACAAGCATTACTAGACATATTCACCATACGCGAGGAAATCGGTACCGTGAACGGGCTCACAATTACAATGGTCGGCGATCTGAAGAATGGACGTACAGTACACTCTTTGGCTCGTCTGCTAACACTTTACAATATTACACTGCAATATGTGAGTCCACCGAATCTCGGTATGCCAGAGGAAATCGTCCGCTATTTAGCTTCAAAAGGTGTACTACAGAAAACCATGAGTTCTATGGAAGATGCCTTGCCAACCACAGATGTACTATATATGACCCGCATACAAAAGGAACGTTTCGCTAGCGAAGAAGAATACCAAAAGGTAAGAAAAGTTTATAACTTTGAAGCTGTTTTCATAGTATATATTTATATAGTAAGATTACTGAGTTTTGTCGAAATTTCTGAGTCCATAACTTTTTGGTTCAAAATAGAGCTTGTAGTACGGGGAATAAGAGCATTTTCTCCTCGGAATAATAAGTGCAAAGGGGTTTCAAGAGCATATCAAAAAGTGCTTCCAGAGGTAAGGTAGTCTATACATGGCATTTTACGTAGCAGTAGTTATGGAAGCCATATTATTAGACGACAAGTTAGGCAGCGGAAGATGCAGCATTGTATGGAGAGGGCTGTCTTCGGTGTGGCTCTGATTGCCCCTGATATGATCATATGTAATCCCTAAACGCTCTTTTATGAAAGGTTTTTGTACTCAATGATGCCCACTAGAGTAGTATCTCATAGAATAATATCGACCTGAGGACTGCTGTGAAATTCCTTTGACTTTCTTTGCCATCTCCTCTCCGTTGAACCACCACGAGAGTTTGTTATTCAGTATTATTTCGAGATACTTGGTGCTTTGTTTCGGTTGGAGAGTCGCCCTTTTCATCTTAGATTTAGACCAGACTATAAT